AAAAAAAAAAAAAGGAAAATAATAAATCAATACTAATTCTCCTCCCTGGTGTTTTCTACCATTCACAGTAATTACTTGTTCCACTATAAACAAGGAGGAAAGGAAGAGTAAACATTCCACTTACAAGAGATTTAAAAGATATAAATGGTTAATATTTAATCTCCTTTCAAATTGTAAGGAGAGACCTGTATCACTGAATTTGACCAGCAGCCAATTAAATGTTTCATTCAGCTATTAAAACGTTATGCCTTCAAATTACGAGCTAGATACTTTTTTGTAGTAGAAAGTTAAGATCAGAAATTGAGGTTTTCCTATATATAGATACCTCTTCACACAGGGAGCAGGAGATTTACTTTTCAATTATTTCTGATAGTTCAATCAAAGCCTTTAGGAGAGATAGTTACTCTCCAGCACAGATCTTATGCATCTAGAAAGAGGAGGAGTTAAAAAAAAAAAACTGAAATAATTAAAACCAGTGAAAAATTAATGAGAAGTGAAATTTTCTCCTAAAAAGAGGGCACAGTCTAAAACACAAAGCTATCACATAAACAGACTATGCTTAAGTTTCATTAACAGACATGCCATGGATTCTAGAAGTTAGAAAGAGAGCAATTTGGTCTGGATTTCTGATCTGCATTAAGATGTACAATTAGTTTTCCTGCATAACCAGCTCCAAGGTCATCCACTATAGTGAGACTCAGAAGTGCTTGTTCAGATCCTACTGTTCAATGTTGAACAAGCACTGAAAGAAATCCAACCATTCAAGCCTAATGCAAACTTCTGGATAAATTTTACGTACCTTTTTCATGACACTCACTGATAAAGACAACTTTAAGTATAATGCCATCGGGGGGGGGGGAGAATAATCCTGAAAATTGCTCACGGTGAACACTTTTGTCACAAAGTTGAAGATAATAAAGCTGAAAGCAGTCCTGCTCATCCATGTTAAGGTCCAAAAATAATTAAGATCATTTCAGAATCACAGAATAATTTAGGTTAGCAGGGACTCCTGGGAGTCATCTAGGCCCAAGCTTGATTTCAACTCTGAGGTTAAAGCATGTTGCTCAGGGGTTTGTCCAGTTGATTTTGAAAGTCTCCAAGGATGGAGATTCCATGGCCTCTCTGGGTAACCTGCTCCAGTGCTTAACCACCTTCACAGTGAACAACTTTTTCCCTTATGTTCAACCGGATTTTTTTTTTATTGCAACTTGTAGCAGTTGCCTTCTGCCTTCTCCTCTGCCTCTCAGAAAGAAGTCTGCCCAGGTCTTCTGGGCAGGTAGTGGAAGACCACAAAAAGATCCTTCCCACCTTGCCTTCTCCAAGCTAAGCTCGCTCACCCCCCTTGAACACCACTTGCCACTAAGGTACCCTAATCACCTCAGCAGTGGCCCTGTACTGGGCTCTCTCCAGTTTGTGAGCGTGTCTTGTACTCGAGGGCCCAAAACGGGACCTGGTGTTCCGGGTACAGCTTCAGAAGTAGAGGGGAACAATCCCTTCCCTCACCTGCTGGCTATGCTCCTGCTGAGGCGGTCCAGGCCACAGTTAGCCTTCATCGCCTCAAGGGTGCATAGCTGACGCCTGCTCAACTGCCCGGCTCTCAGAAAAGCTGCTGCCTTAGTAGGCAGTCCCCAGCCCTGGCCAGCACATGGGGTTATTCTGTCCCAGGTAAGGGACTCAGCATTTGTCTTTGAGACTTCACGAGACCATCACCTTGCAATTGCAAAATACTAACTTTGCCAACTGACTGAAATCTGTACAAGCGTACAGAAGTCTCTAAACAAAATTCAAAAAAAGGCTTTCAAAAATATGTTTCCAAAAAGGATAAACTGGAATCATTTCTTGACAAGAATTAACTTGCCAAAGACAGTGTATAAATGGTAAATAAGTATTATTTTATGCAGACATTGAGATAGCTACCTGTATTTATGCTATGTTGTCTATTAAGTTAGTGAACGACAAAGTGCTTCATAAGAGAGTCTACGAAAACTTCAGAGGTAAGATTTCAAATATAAAAATCTTTCAAGATTATGTATACTGGCCACTTGACATATGGCCTAGATACGCACTGATATAAAACAGCAGCACTGCTTAGAAGAAGGGAACTAACGCACATATCAAACTCTAAATCTATATTTAATTGAAATTTAAATGTAATCTATTTCCTGCCTTTAAAACAAAAGTAAATCAGTCAAAATAAAATATGTTATTCTGGCAGTTGGAAACACTTTGCAAAATTTTCCAAGTAGGAAAAGTTTAGCTGGTCTGACCAACTTTCACAGACATTCTGCTACCCAAATTATGACACCACGTACACATCCCTTTTTCAAAAAGAAGCAAGAAGAGTCATTTCCTTTCGGTAATAAAAGCAATAAGCCAAAATACTCTCCTTGTGAACCAAAATCATTTCCACCTCGCCCTCTCAGTTTTAATGGGCAGATTTGTTCATTCCTTACTATGTGTTCAAGTATATTCCCAATGGCTTCTGTAGAGTTACATTCACATATCACATAGCAGAAGTAAAACCAGAATCCGACAGAAAATTGTGCAGATTTTTCCCCATTTCTAACCCGTTTTTTCAGGAGCACGTTCCACTCACCAAGTTAGAGGCTATTCTAGGGTGGAAGGACTCTGCCTCCTCCCCATTCAAGCTGTATCACTTTTCAAACAGGAATGCAAGGTTCCTCGGGCTAACGAGCAACAAGAGAAAACAGTCCTAGCCCAGTGATTAAGGCAGTTAATGGAAAAAGGAAAGATTTGGATATTTAATCGCCATTCTGAGGCTTAGTAGGTTCACACATTTTTAGTTCAAACACTGAAAAATCTAGCAGATTTTCTTGTGCATGTTTTCATTAACAAAAATAGATCCAGTTTCACAAAGTATGGAACATTTGTTTACTCCTGCTGA